TTATGGTTTAATATATTAAAAAATAACGTGACTTTTTTTACTCTACATTCACATTTGTCTGTTAAGTTGAAACGTTTTCAATGGTGTATTTAAAATTACAGTTGGTTGTTTACTTTAGTATGTTATGTTAGATCTGCGAAATGTTTCGTACCTAATTGGAATAGGTGCTACTTATCCCGTATAAACTAGAAAAAGGATTTTTTAATTTCTTAGGTATGTCCTATTACTCTCTTTAAGTTTATATTTACCAAAAGCTCATTGCATTATTTCAGTTTTTAAAATGTACCTAAATGTAACATTCAGACACAGTTATTTTGTGTTTTACGATTATATATTATTCGATAGTTTTTTCAAAACAAAACAAAAACCACATTTAGTTCATGTAAATCAAATTAATACCAAATCCGATTAAGTAATGACGATTTATGCCTTTTATACAATCTAAGTACTGTGTTGCTTCTAAATAGCTTTTTTGCATCTGATTTCTACACATAAAGCCATGTAATTAAGTGCATTACCTATTTACTATTTGAGGCAGTTGCTCGTGAAACTCATACATAGTATTTATGTCGTGTGTCAATCGTTGAATTGGGCCGATCGAGATCTGCCCGGGAATACTACGATATACCGCCATTTCTTAATTTAGCCAGGAAAATCACGATTTGCTCTGTTAAAAGTTTGGCAGATCGACGAGAGCAACGTATTTATCGATTTACCCAACTAATTACTTGGGCACATCGTGATAAGGTTGGGCGAAACGCAGTATAGTTCTATTTCGCGACACTGGTGGCTCTGTAGCACTATCCATTGTATATTTACGTGTTAGAAAGATGGCGACGTCACAAACAAACAAAAATTGTGATATTAAAAATAATGACAGTTACCTGCTGCCAAAAGTGTTTTCCAAGTGAATCATAAGCATCTGCTACAGGAGTTTTTATTTTCGAAACGCTGAACACTTTTTAGTAAACATAGTAAAATACAATTTTGACAGCCTTTTTATTTACCAGTCAATTAATCATTATTTAAACTTCACTTTATTTGCTTACTTAAAGAAAACCCGGGATGATGCTCATCTCTGCTTACATAGTATTTTGGTCATCCTACAAAGTCGATTAGCCTGAGTAAATCGTCATACATAGTAGTAAAGCTTTGAACGATATGGCGGATGATAGATGACCAAATCAGGAAATGGCGGCATATGGTGATATTACCGGGCAGATCTCGATAGACCAGATTCAACGATTGGCCCACGACATTTAGATCACGTCATCAAGATTTCAAAATTATTTATTATGAAAATATAAAAAACTAAAGTTATAACTATTTTGTCAAATTTTGCCCAATGGAATGGAATTTCGCAGATTAACTTCGCAAATATTTCCCTTTTTAGTTAACGTAGTTTCAATTCTTCGATTTTCCGAAGTTGGTCATTTGTCTGTGAAATTGATGGCAAAAAAGTATCTTTTATTTTAGTAAACAACTTTTTCAGACCTTTGTAATTATCTTACACGTTTGTTACATATACGGTAACCTTGTAGTGATTGTATAACTGCCTTTTTAGATCAATTAGCCAGTTGTCAGTTGGAATTATATAATCAAAGTGTTATTGTTCTATTTTCTGAATGCCGCCGTTTCATATTGGCACGTTGAGTACAGAAATGACCGTTTCGGACGATTTTTCAATCAATGAGCTTATAAAATACGTTTTAAGAGACATTTGGTAGCGTCAGCAACGGTGAAGAATAAATATTACTGTTGCTAAAAATATTAATATTACTGTTGACAATTTTATTAGGATTATTAAAGTATTCCTCTTTTATATAATTTATTTACTTATATAATATAATACACTTACAGGCTTACACATCTTAGATCTACACGCAAATTATACAAAATGTCAATTTAAAATGAAATACCAAAGTAGATATTTGATATTAAAATTTCTGTATTGAGTGATTTTATAAAGTTTCGGTACCTACCAAACCATATTTTTATTGGTTTTGATACTGTAAGATTTTTCAAATAGAGTATGTAATTTATTGTCAAATGTTGTTGTTAATTAAATATTAGGTCTAATATATATTTAACGTTAGGATATACATTAATGCATACGTGGAGTCGGCGGGTTATGTGGGGCTCTCCCTGAGGACCGTTCCTCATAAGGGCTGGACAAAAATATCCTAAACCTAACGAAATTATTCTCCATGAAGGCGATGCACGGGAAAGAGGTAGCGGTAGCTGTGTGTTACATAATACTCGTAATATTATTATAGTATAATAATATTAGTATAGTGAGTGTGTATGTGTCTGCATGTATGTATTTGTATATGTGTCAGTGTTTGTGTATGTGTGAGTGTGGATATGTGAGTGTAGAGTGAAGCATCTCTCAGGTTCCTCTTACGCTGCTGCCGCAACAACCTCCCTCGCATACAACGATCCCTCCGAACCGGTGAGAAAACGGAAGGGCAACAGCAATGCTGTTCTAGTTCTAGTTCTACTCCAAATTTAGCAGATTTCAACCTATTACGAAATTTATATTATTCTCTGGCCCATTCTATCATTAATTACTGTATCATTGTATGGGGTGGTGCTTGCAAAACACCTATGTTAATCTTAGAAAGAGCTCAAAGATCAATACTTAAAGTCATCACTTTCAGTCCATTTAGATTCCCGACTAGGTTACTCTACGAGAATTGTGAAGTTTTAACAGTCAGGCAACTATACATTCTAGAAATACTTCTAAAAAAACACAAAGCTACTCCTTTTGATTCTAAACTTTATAAAAATAAGTGTACCATAGCTAACGTCTGCAGTCTCCCTAAACACCGTACGGCTTTCGTGTGTCGCCAGCACAAATACCTATCTGGGCTTCTTTACAATAGAATTAACAAAAAAAAATCGATTTCTACCCACTATCTCTTAACAAAGCCAAAACAAAAATAAAGAAATGGCTACTCGCCATGAGCTATGATCAAACGGAATCCATATTCAACAGTCAAAGTATTTTAACCCTTCCCTCCATGCACTAACGTCTGTGGTTTCAATGCTATCACTAATACTTCGTGTTATTCACCACACATGATTTCCTTTACATGTCTATTATTGTACTGGATTAGACTAAGTAACATATTGTGTCTTATCGTTGATATTAATTATTAGTTACTAGTAATATGGAAGAGGGCGCTGACTTCTGTCACTCAGGTTATACCTAGCACAGAGGTCAGAGACTTCACACTGCCTTGATGATGTATATTTATATGACAATAAAGTTATTATTATTATTATTACTCCGGGAAGACGGTTACAAAGCACGCCTGTCTGACGCAGAGCACGCAGACCGGTTTCTCACGAGGAATCCGGGGTGGGGAATCGACCACTCTACGGTGGGAGAAGGCGCGCATAGCGACGTCTTCTTGTCCCAAGTCTCCCGCTTCTTCTGACACAGGACAGTCTCGCAGAAAGAAGCGACGGCCTCCCAAGACCTGCGACTGCTCACCATAGTACGAACTACACTGGCCAATGAAAGTCCGGTCCAATCAGAGTGTGCTTGTCAAATCTACAGCGCCACAGCACTCATGGCATGACGGAGATGCCTCCCATCTGATCCGCTGAAGAAACTTACTAAAAAACCCGTACCCAGTAAGGATCTGCATCATATGAAAGGTCAATGCCACAAACCCCCTCTCCCGAGATTCTTTTATCATGCAAGTTATACAACATATCAGATTTAAAATTAGTACAAAAATCAATATAATTATGATTTTTTGATATTCAGTATTTAAAGAAAAGTGCCATACGCATGTAAGCATGTGTTTTTTCTTTAAAAATTAATTGAGTGATTTTATAAAGTTTCTGTACCTACCTAAGTACTATACCAAATTTTTATTTGTTTTTAATTACTGTACGTCCTTCAAATAAATAAATTTATTTAAAAATGTTGTAAATTAAATATTAGAAAACATCACAGATCATCAGATGTTAGCTCAGATTACAAAACGAGTTACTAAATAAAGCACTTTTACTATGGAGTATCTGAAATAATAAAAGTCACAACAACCAGACCTAAGACAATATAGAAATGTTTACTTTCTATATATATTGACCAAACGAATCAAAGGGAATCGAACCTGGGACCTCAGAGATGGCAACATCTTGAAACCAGCATGCAAGCTAGTGCTATTCTACTACGATATGCTTTATCTGAAAGTAAAAATTATTTAAGATAAACGCTATTGTAATCCAATATTTAGCATTTTTACACTTCAATGACAAGAAAGTAAGACTAGTCTTTTATCTTTCAGGCATAGATAATTATTATATCTATTTGTGTTTTTGTCTGACCGTACATAAAATGTGACAATACCTTCTTCCTTTAGATACTGCAATAAAAATTGCTTCTAAACCCATAGAGATGTCTTGCAAATAAAAAATAAAATCTCTTTATTGTTTCAAGAACAGAATATAGAATGGATTCTTTTTGTATTAAAACTGTTCTTGATCTTGAATGTGGTCAATGCCATGTGTATTTTTGTTTCATAATATCTTAGACTCATTACATTAATAAATAATCTCTTTATTGCATTTTTTTGTTTACTTAGGAGTTATAAAAAGGTTATGGTTTTTTATCTACCATTATCTTGATAGATGCAAGAAGTTTACTAGCTCTGAAGAAGGGAAGGAACAAATTTACATAAATCTATATGATAACTTTATTAATATGTTAACAAAATTAATTATGGACAAAGAACGTGCAAGAGTAAAACAATAATATTTATTGTAATTAATTAACCCGTGTAAGGGACTTTCATAGATTGGGATACACTACAAAAGACGTAATATCGGCTAATTTTGTTTAATGAAACTAAAAGATTAATGAAAACAAAAATCACAAGAATTTCAAGGCTTTGTGTTTAAGAAAATATTAAATCAATGAAAAACAAAATCGAAGCTACTCTAAGACCTCGCATTAAAAACCCTCTCCATTGCCTCTGTATTCCGTCGACAGCTAGGAGCGTCTCCACGGGTGACTGGCACCAGTAGCCAACGAATACCCGCGCGGGACGAGCGAGCCACTCAGTCGGTATACCATGTCATTAGCAGAAGGCGCATCCGACAACGACCAGAGACAAGACAGAGAGATCGAACGCCAGGAAGAAAAGAGCGGGAAAAAGAAAAACGACAAACCTAGAGGGCAGGTATGAAAAACTTATTACTTTTTTAGTTGAGTGTTTCTCTATTTTTTACTGTTTGAATTTCTATCTACTTAAATAAATAGTTATTTCCCTAAGCGGTTCTAATCCTAACAGTGTTTTTCTGTTTTTTTTTTAAGTTTTTAAACTAATAATGTTTAAGATAAAGATTAATGCTTAAAAATTCATTGACATGACCGAAACTTTTAAGATCGCGACGCCCTGGAAACTGATGTGCGACTCTCTCGACTATAGAGGTCGTCAAGAATACTAAACCTTTTTTATTTTAAGTATTTAAACATTTTCTTACCAACTTTTGGCAATTTATCAAAGTTTTGTTTTGATTTTATTAGTTATTGTGTATATAAGGTATGATAATAATGTGTGTCTAAGGTATTTAAGACCTTTATAGCGGAGTGATTTACTTTTAGGGTTCGATTCCAGGGAAATAATTTGTACGGATATTTAGTTTTTGGTTTATAAGGCCTGGCTCTTACAGATATCCATAATCCTATTAATATTATAAATGAGAAAGTTTCTTTGTTTGGATGTTTGTCCGTCAATCACGCCGAAACTACTGAACTGATTCTGATGAAATTTGGTACACAGATTAGCTGACTTAGATAATAGAATACTTTTTATCCTATTAAACATTTCCCTAGGCACCACGCGGGCGAAGCTAATTATATAGGTATAAAAGTATCAAACAGATAAATTCGCATTTAAAATATGTAAATATGAGTATAACATTAAGTTAAAGTAATCCTTTGACTGTGACAGATTAAGTTAATATATTTGAAATGTCACAATTCAAATACAGGTCATAATGAATTGAAATTATGATTGTTTTTCCGTGTTATGTCGTAACATTGTCGTCACGGTAATACTTTTTGTGTTGAGAAAGTTCGAAGTCTAGAGACTCTTATGTGAATAAATATCATGTTACAAATTTTATAAAGAGGAAAGATTATATTATTTATTTGTTAGCATCGAATAGGCTGCGTAACTAGTGGACCATATTTAAACATTCTTTAAACTAGGGAAAACTACATCATATGCGAACGACTAGGATATACTTTACGCGGGCGAAATCTCCGCGTAATGGAATTGATTGCATTTAGCTTCAGTTTAGCGGCAAATTGACATATTTAGCCAAGATAAAGTTATAAACAGAATCAATGATTTGTTTATAATTTATTACAAAAAACAATTAATGAAATTTTGTTTATAACTTTATCTTCGCACTATTTGACTTGGCGAGTGGTGTCATTTTTATCCGACTACGGCGAAGCGAAAAGGAAGGTTGTGGTTTTGGCTGGTATGTATGTATGTAAGAATGGTCATCTGTTCCATTGTAACATTGAAACTACTCATCGTAACTGGATAAATGAGTTAACATTAGAAACGTCTTAGTTGTCCGCGTGCTATGTGACGTTACATTAAATTGGAAACAGTGCCAATTAGAGAGCATAAAGTAAGAAACTAAAGAATATATATTATTCCATCATATACGTTCATAAACTAAATCCTAAAGCACAAAAAATTAGATAAAAAAAATAATTAAATAAGTTCAAAAACTAAAATCCGAGTATAGCTATATCACGCTCCATACATATCGCACGTTGAGAATGACAATGTCACTAACCAAAAACGACGTATTTTTTACTTTTGGCAACAAATTTATTTGTTAAGTTTAAATTTTATAATGCAAAGATCCTTGTGAACGTAGTTTGCATAGAAACTGCTAGGCGGCATAGTGACGATAAGTTGTTTAGAGGGACTGATTACAATTTCTTGAACTTTAAACGCTCATTACTCAAAATCGCATGTTTTGCATAGTGTCAGTGTAGTACGTTCTCAACGTACGATATGCTTTGAAAAACGCCGCTTAAGGTATTTATAATATAAAAACCAAGAAATTGAGCGGTAGGTCAATAGATTTAATTAGTCAATAAGAATACAACCCAGTTATATCCAAAACGGTACAAACAATCAAATTCAACCTTCGACCGCGTGATGTATTAACCAATTAGTCGGTAGTGCCAATTTGCTAGCCTTATATAGTTTTATGGTTCATGGGAAAATGGCTGTTTGGACATTACTTGGTCCACTTGTGGTCCACCCACAACCAGTGGGCGTAATTACTTATTAAAGCTAGTCGGTTAAATGTAATGCGATTTTGTTCACTAACAATGATAGTGATCAAATGTAGAAAATAATTTATAAAAAAGAAGAACTTCGAAACAGCTAAAATATAATTAAAGAAATTTTAATTGAATTCGGATGGGGATTTTGTGTAGGTTATAAATTTTAACCACCCGGCTTCAATAGAGATTTGTTTTCATTATTTTTTACTGTTATTTAGCTTTTTTAAAGACGGTTTTCGTTTTGTAAAATTGTTAATTTTTGTACCTTCAAAACTTCTGAACCGATTTTGATAAAAATTGTAGTGCAGCCTGAGTTGAAAGCTTATTAATATAACAAAAAAAATCACGGGTCCACCTGAAGCCCATAAGCCTTCAAGTCCTATTAATATTCCTACTCGCAGAGATGTGACTTATCTTAGATACAAGTATTTGAAATACAGATACAAGATACAAAATACGTATTTTCATCTTGTATCTAAAATACTTTTTTTAGGAAGTATTTTGTATCTTGTATTTAAATACTTTTGTTTAGTATCTTAGTATCTTTTAAATACTTTTTCTGATAAAATACTTTATAAAAAGATTATTTCTTACATTTTATAAATATCACAAAACATTATTTGCCTAAAACATACATATTTACAAAAAGAAAGTGTTCAATTATCAACGCAATGAATATTTAGTTAAAAATAACTCGAATCCAAACATTGTTTGGTGTCATTTAAAAGTAAATGCGTAGAACTGAACGTACGGTTATACCGGAGTAATACATCCTCCCTAGTTAAAATTTATAGATGGCGCATAGGGCTTGAAATCGAATAACCAGTTACAAGCAATAAAAAATCTTGATTTATGTAAAACCCGGTTATATGCTATAAATAAAACTCAGTATATCAATTAAACTCATTATTAAATTTTATTATTTTTTTGCACATTATACTTTTTCCACTAACAACAGCATTCAAAAAGTTTATTTTTAAAGAAATTTCACTGTGAAAAAAAAAATTATTAAAAAGGAATTAAAAAATTAAAAATAATTTAAAGCTGATGTATGAAAATTTGCATTTTTATATGTTACATTGTGATTGACAAACAAATAAAACGGAGGAAAAGTGGGTGAAATTTAGCTTGTAAGATTTGAGTACAAACACGGAAAACTAAATAAAAGCTTACAAAAATTGTTTCTAATGAAAAATGCTTAAAAAATCCACTTTGTCCCTGGAACCATCTGGTCTAAGATTTAGGTTTTTGTGGTTTTTAATTAACAAACTTAAATTCAAATCTTTTTTTAGAAAAGTATTTGTATTTATAAAAAGTATCTATAAGATATCTATTTTGTATCTAGTATTTCAAATACTTTTCTCGAAAGTATTTCGTATCTGGTATCTGAAATACTTCATTTAAAAGTATTTTGTATCTTGTATTCCAGATACTTTGTACAGGGTATTTTGTACATCTCTGCCTACTCGTATGAATGGAACCGAATAAAACCGAGAGAACGATCGATGACAAACCACGTGGACCCAGTGTGATTAGAAATAATAGAAAAATATTAGCCTGCTTAACTTCCGCATCGCAGACCGAACGAATAAACCCTTGCGCCATTGTGATCCTTTTTTATAAAAACTTAAAATTATATTACAAAAAAATATTTTATCCAAAAATGGAACCTTTTAAAAAGTGAAAAATAATACTTAAAAGCGGTTAAAATTAAATAATGATAATTGCCTGACTTCAAGGTTTCTTTAAAGCAGTGTAATCTAATACTGGGGACGACTGAATTAGCTGCGATTTCCGGGTATCATCTCCCCTGATACGGTCAATGGGTTTTATTGGGTAGGCTTTCGTAGTCACGTTAGATTGAAAAAATCGGATGTATTTTCGGAGGAGAATCCTATGCACTCCTGTCGCTTGCCAGTCAGAGTAGTGCCTAATGCATTTTTCCCGACGCTATGAAAAAAGTGCAATATAAAGTTGAATATACACTGTGTCCATACGCCACGGACGTACGGTACGCAAGTGAATGCGCAGATTTGCCGAGGTCATATGTCCACCAGACCATCCGAATTTTTAATAAAACTATCATTTGACAGTTTTGACATAACGCTGCGAAGTAATGTATCTCTATAAATATGCAGTAGCTTTATGCATGTAATCCGTATGAAGTCATAGGCATGCATCGCATTCTCTCTGCTCATATAAGCGTGTGCAGACACAATGGATGATCACCTTAGTTCCTATTATGTTTTTTCTCGCATTTCTCGTTACAATTCAGATGATAGAAATAATAAAAATGTGGGTGTGTATTACTGTGAGTTTTTCTCAACAGGAAACGACAATAAAGAACAATACGACAATCAGACGAAGCAGGGAGCGAAGACGATACTCGAGTGTTTGATCACTGAAGCATGATAAGCGCACGCGCATACCATTGTATTCATATAAGTTTTGTTTTAATACCGTAATTGGCTACAAATCAATCTCATTAGATTATTGAATGTCGTATGTATTCTCTTCAATGTAACGAACTTTGAGATATTTTTTATTTCTTTATTCAGGTAATACTAATATTAGCAATAAATAGTGCATGTAAATGACGAACATCACGTATACAATATAAAACAATAAACCAAAACAAGGTTATAGACCACCCATTATGAAGGGACCTTACATAAACTTTTGTTTGTTATCAAATACTAATTCATCCACTTTCCTTTTAAAAACAATTAAGTGAAATTGAAAATACATCTATCTCATTTAAAAATTCATAGTAAAAATCATAAGTTCTGACAAAAATATTCAGCGCATATTTCGTATGACAAAACGCAATATAAAAAGTATCTTTAGAACGTGACGAGGACCGAGGAAGTTTCAATGAAATTCTTTGTAACATAGCAGCGGAATCATAATCACAGTACGACTGAGAATTAGCTTGTACATACATATAGAATCTAAATAATGTCGCCTTCTAGACGGTGATTGCATTTTATGTTTTCTTGCGCTCTCTTCATAATAATTATTTAAGCCAGTCCTGTAATTCAACAACTTAAAGAACTTATACTGGATGCGTACTGTCCTATCCTTATGAACTGCAAACTGAGGGTTCCAACCAACACTACCAAATTCGTGAATACTGCGAACATAAGCGTTATTTAAAATCTTAATTGTATTAGCATTTTTGAAAGCTTTTCACAAACGAAGGATTAAGCCCAACTGTTTATTTGCTATTATACGATCAATATGTAAATTAAAGTGTAATTTCGAATCTAAAATTTAACTAAGATCACAGTTTGAATTCATACGGGTTATATTTTGATCAAAGACCCTGTAATAAAAGTGATCGATTACGTTTGTAAACTTTACGCTTATTTAAAATGAAAGAATGATTGATTAGCTTTTTAAAATGCTCAAATGTATTTAAATTTTCCTGCAATTCTTCGCAATCATTAAGACTCTGAACTATCTTGTAGATCATTGTATCATCTGCATACATGAGAAGATGAGACTTGACGAAACAAAGACCTGTATCATTTACATATAAAGAAAACTGGATAGGACCTAAATAAGACCCCTGTGGCACTCCCGAAGAAATATTAAAGAATCTAGATTGGAAACCTTTAAGTGCAACGGTTTGGCTTCGATTGCTGGTGTATGATTTGATCCATCTAAGTAGATCAACATGCACACCAACCCCCAGAACCTTTTCCATTAATATATTATGATTTATTTTATTCATAGCTTTTGAGAAATCAGTGTACACGGCTTCCATCTTATATCCAATATCCAATGCATTTAGCACGAAATCAGTGTATTTTACCAAATGCGAATTAACACTGCGACCGCAGAGAAAACCATGTTGTTTCACTGCAATTGAATATTTCAATCGATCTGACAGAAAAATAGTAACAATTTTTCAAAAAATTTTGCCAACATACATAACTTTGATTTGGGTCTGAACTGTTTTAAGACATATCTATTCCCACCCTTTAGAATTGATGTTATTGATGATTTTTTTCAAAATTGAAGAGACATTTCCTTCCGTAAGCAATTTTCTATAAATAATAGTTTGTGGTATTGACAGTTCTTTAAAATCCTGTTATTGATTAATAATAGGATGTATATTATAGAAACTGGCGCCTTTGTTGAATCAATATGTTTAATTAATTATTCAAAGTTATGTGAATCAACAACTATAGGAGATATGTCAGCTCAAAAGGATGTGCCACAGTTTTTCGCGGCAACAGAGCAGTTAGTGTTTTAGAGTTCATTAAGAAAAAGAGTTGTTGGGATTTTATTAATACGCTTGTTTGAAGTTTGAATGTGACAGAACAACTGTCCTTTTAAAATGTAAATGGTTAGATTTTTATGATCTGACTTTCCCCAGTGAAGACACAGCTGCAATTTTGATGATGATTATGAAATTCTAGTTGTTGGTTTAATCTATGTAAGTCTAAAATTCCACTTGTCCAGCAGATGTCAGACTCTTACATGTGGAAGGAACAGATTCACACTCTGATGAAGGGCGGAGAGAGCGAGTCCGACATATCGGACTCTGAACACTTCCTCACGAAGGGTGCATTCCTCCTGACCCCCTCTCACGGTCTCAGCATGGAGAAAGCCTCCGCTATCTGCGAGAAAATGGAGTTCAAGGGGTGCTTCTCCTTGACGAAGACTGCAACTGGGATCCTGTTCAAATTTTCCAGCGTCGATGATTACCAGATGGTGTTCAAGAAAGGTTTCCATAAAGTCACTGGATCAAGATTCTATAGGAAGGTAAGTTAGAATTGGCATTGCAGATCATCATAGAATACTTGGCCAGCAGAGTGACTCCGTAAAAATCCGAACCTGTAGTCACTCGTGTGTCCGATTTCATGTTATTTAGTGTAAAAATTCTATTGATTCCATTTTTTTGTATAAAAATAAAATACAAAATTGATCGTTTATACTTGTCTTAGATTTTCTATTATTATGTCCTTCCGAAACTCATTTCACTTATGCCACGAAACGTTTATACCAATTCAAAGCTGTCGTTTTCGAAGTGAATTCGAACACCTGAGTGAATTCAAATTCGGGTTCGGATTTTTACGGAATCGCAGGGTTAATCCTGATTATTTCATGTGGGGTCTTCTCAATATATCTATCGGTTGCAAGGCTTAGATTATCGCGACCTTTTTTTTGTATTGTAAAAAAAGAAGAAAGGAAATGATTTGTACTGTGGCGTTATACATAAAATAATAAAGAAAAATAATAAAGAATAAAAAAACCACTTACTATAAAATCATAAGTTTGAAAATGTAGCCACTTAGCATGTGTTGGATGTCTCAGACGAATTATATTGAATTATATAGAATCAATTGTATATAATTTATTATCACTAAATATGTCACTTAGATCAGTTGTTTTTCAATCAGTATATTCTTCATCCTTCACCACTCTATTTCTTTCAACTGTTTGAGATAACATTTATAGCTGGCATAATGAGGAAGTATTAAAAAAAAATCGAAAGCACTAAAAAGCACCTCCACTAGATGGCGACTCTAGCAAAAGTTGATTTTTGCAGGAAACGAAATGGACCAAAGACAGTAATTTCCGTTCCTTTTAACTAACACATTAAAAAACTGAAATTTGAAAAGTTCGAAACTTAAATATCAATACAAATACGAAAAAGTACAAATAGAATATGAGTTGTTTATTGAGTTCTGAAAACTAATTTACATTAAACTTGAAAGAAAACCGGAAAGGTTGTCATGGAGAAATCAAGAACGTACTGTAGTGACATCTATGTTGTTTGATTTCGGGTACTAATGTTTTTTTAAATACTTCCTCATTCACACAAAGGCCTTTTTATTGGTCTTCTTCTAGTTATAATTTCGTCTAATATAACTGAGCACTACACATTAAATCATATATTCACATCACGAATAGGTACTACCGCAATCTCTTATTTTTCAGCTTTTCTGACACTGGTAATACTTTCAAACGCCCTCTGACGTATTTTTTTTCGGCCGTTGTTACCACATCACACTTCATCTCAAGATACGTTTTAGCAACGATTATCATCCTTCTGTATCACAAAATAACTTTTTTGTTATTAAATAAATCTTAAGTTTAATTTTGTATGTAAAGTAAGTTAAATTCTTTTTTAATTAATGCATCATAGATACAATCTTTGTTTCTTGCATTAAATAGAACTCTATAGCACAGTCCTTTTGCAAATGCGGCAGTGCAAAATTTGGTGTAGCTTCAAATTATCAGTAAATTTTTAGTTTTCATACATTAACTAAGAATTTTCAATATACTTTGAAGCTTCTATTACTTTGCCTATATATTTTGGATTTTAACCTCGCTTCAGGCATAACTAATAATATAGATCAAATAACAGCTTTGTGTTTAATAAAACCCTATTTTAATAATATACTTTGTTTCAGTTTCATTTGTGTTTACTTAAAATAATTTTGTATTGATCTCGTTAATTACAAAGCTCTCTTCGTCCTTCTACAGTATTATTTTATTAAGTATATTTGAAGTGTTATAATATAATTTCTTTATGTTATTACATTTATTATTTTAAATGCTAACTTTAATATTTTAATTTTATAAGATTCAAAATATCATATTCGTGTCATTATTCTTAATTAATACATAATGTTAACGCGTCGTATTTATTTAATTTTATATTGTATGATATTTTAACATAGATTTTTGAATAACATTATCCCAAGGCATGGGGTTATAATATTCTAAGGCCAAGAAGACTTACTCTTCTTTTATGTGATATTATTTATTTAAATTCTAAATTCTAGCTTAATTACGAAAAAACTTTCTTACTCCTACAATTCATTATTTATATCTAAACAATAACTCCTCGGCTACTTAAAGCATTTATATGCTCTATCTTTTAAGTTCAGCCATCGGAGTCAGTTGAATCTTTACTTATTATTTCTTACTCCCCAACATAGTAGACACGTGTGAAGAGTTATGTCTCGTCCTTCCTATGTGATTCTATCAAAACAGAGGACATGTGGCACATAGGCATGAATAGGATGATACAAGAATTAAGTCATCAGAACTTAAAACAGCTAGATTGTAGCTGCTGATCTATCTTATTTAATGATGTGTTCCAGATAGCGATACCGTGTCGTCCTCAGAAGACTTTCACCGTGTACGTGTATGATGTACCTGATGAGGTCCCAGAGGAGGATGTGAGGCATGCCCTGTACAAGTTCGGCTCGGTGGTGGAGGTGGTCCGTCTACACTTCACAGGTTCGCCGCGAGAGGGCAACACGGGTATTCGTTAGTTATAAATAAGCACTGCACAATACCATATACATTGCTCAGAATGCTAAAGAAGATTGCTAAAGTCATCGTGTTACGGAAATCTGAAACAGCGATTGTACCAAGAACTAGTCTCAAAAAAAAATGTTTTTTTGTTTGCATTTATTAGTTCCTAGTATAATTTTAAGTGCAATAAGCTTAAATCCTTATCAGCACGATGATGCACTTTAGGCTTCCATTTAATTAATTGCTAACATAGAAAAACTTAAATGAGACGGTTTCCTAAACATCAAATTAGACGTTATTTGAGAATTAAAAATCCTATGTAATGAGATAATAATAAGTTCTTTACAATATTCATAAAAAAAATATTATAAATAGAAAAATCGAACCGACAATATTATCGTAGAGATCATTGTAACATAGGTTTTAGGTTAGAATCCTGATTCCAACTTTATTTTTAGACTGATATTTAATCCCACCGATTTCCTATCAATTAGCTAGAATTCAAATCGAAATGACTCTATTGGGCTAAAATTAATTTTACTATTTCCAAATAATCGTTTAAATATTTGACAGCAGTAATTCTATAGTTACTATTATTATGTTCATAATACTATTATTATGTTCGCAATTTGACAAATATCATAATTTGTTAATCCAAACCTTTTTACAGGAACTTCTACCCCTAAACCTTCAGACAAGACTCCTCCACGAGCTCTCACAACTATCGACGGAGAGCTGGTGAGCAGCATGATACCCAAAGAAGCCACTAGCGTGATACGTGTGACCCTCGCTAACATCGAGGAGGCGAATATCCTCCTGCAGAACGGCCTGGATTTCTATGGTGCCACTTATTTTCCAACGGAGCTCGCTACTCCAGCTCAAGCTGCGAAACTTATCAAGCCGAGCAGGTGCGTTCACAAAAATAGAAATCTCTTCGGCAATGTTATATTTAAAATTATTGCTGATATAGTTTTATATTAACTTGTATGAAGAAAGTTTAATAATGATTTTAACATTTGTGATCTACAATAGAGCCCGATCATCATGACAATAGAGAGGGAGATCAGGCCATAATCCACCGATTATAGCCTAATCTCCCTATTGAATTCAGTTTATAGGGAATACCTAAGCCCCAGTAGTGAGTTCAGAGTGGAGATAGTTCAGATCCCAAAGAAGTAGCTTAAGAATTTGTAATAAGGAAATCTGAGACAACGAAGGTAATACAACACCCAGTCCCAAAATGGAAAGAGACTTCATTTTTCATATTGACCCGACAAGGAATCGAACCCGGGACTTCAATCGAACACGGAATCGCGACGTCAAAGGCGTCAAATTTTATTACATATACAAGTTTTGTACATATTTCACAAGCACAATGCTACGAATACATAATATAATAGTGATATTTACTATATTTAGAAAAATACTTAAAAAGTTAATTAGTAGATAAGCAGATTATTTAGATCTTCCTTTTTCATCGAATATATTCTTTATATATTCGATGTTCATGTATATAAAAGGAATATATTAGATGAAAAAGGAAGATCTAAATGGTCACAGGTTCATTGACTATATTTAATCTTTATCCAGGGTCACAGGTGGAACAGTATCGGCTAGAGTCCGTGACCTTTTACCGGTCTTCGATCAGCAGGGTTTCGCAAAGTTTGCTCCGCCAGCGTCGCGACTCGTCAAACCGAGGTCCAAATGATACCAACTCCACAAAACCCTGAGAGAGACATGCGACGATTCCACGCTTAAAACTATGGTCATAACGACTAATAGCACTAATAAGACATACTGTTTGTACTTAAATTCTTAGACGTTTGATGGAAAAAGACATTTAGATTAACAAACGGATTCAAACTTCATTTAATTTATCTAAATCAATTTTTTTTGTTTGTCTTTGTATCTCTTTGCATTTAATTTTGAGTTATTAGTTACTAATGTGCCATTTATTGTTACAAGACAATATAATATAACTGTTACCAATAAATTAATGTGATAATTTTATGTTATTTGTGTTTAATCCATTAACGGATAGTTGTTTAAGCCCCATCTGAGCTTTATTTTCATAGGATGGGTCAAAATCGCCCGCAAATTTATATTACTCTTATTTCAAAGTATTAGCCAAAGCCATATCTAAAAAGTTTTTTATCAATTGATACGTTTATATTATTCATCTATTTTTTATATTTAATCGATAAAATATGTTTATTTTAATTTTCTGACTCTAAATTATATTACAATTGAATCAAAATGTAATTAATTACAACTAAATTAAAAAACAACATTATAATCAACCAAATATTTTGTTACTCATATTAATTAAAGACCATAGACTAATATTCTTTTAAAGTAACGGTGCTATTAGCTATTTATTTAGTGTATTTTTTTCTAATATTCAGACAAAATAAAACAGGCGGTTAGTATCACAAAAATATGATTTTTATTCAGTCATAGCTGACAATAATGAGTATCACAGATTAATATATTTATCGCTTAGCGAATACACTATATAAAAATAAAAGAATAACTTCTGGCAGGTTGCATTAAAATTAAACATTGGGTCCACTGGGTTTCTTTCCGTTCTTGAACCTATCTTCGATCTCTTGCAAACTCTTTCCTTTCGTTTCTGGTAGAATAAAGAATAATATACCAGTGCCTACAAGAGCTATGATACCGTAGATAAGGAATGTTATCATTTCTCCTAAATTCATCATCATTCCAGGGGCAGTTTTGACGACGGCAAAAAATGCAACAAACGTTATAGCCGAACTGATGCCCGAGCCCAGCCCTCTAACTCGTGTGGGGAACACCTCCCCGCACATGATCCACGGTATAGGAACTAAACCGATCGAGATAGCACAAATGTAACCCATTAGGCAACACAGCGGTAGCCACGACATATTCTCTGGTCTGAAATACAAAAACATCGACAGTCCGACCATTGATATCGCCGTCCAAGTGCCGCTAATGAATGTTAATGGCCGCCGACCGTACATCTTGCAAATCACACAGGCCACCACTGACATTACCACTCTAACTAAATCTATAATCAACATTGCTAAATAGTGGTCGAAACCTTTTCCTACTGCCTTCTCAACGATTACTATAGAATAAAATGCAACTGCATTTACTCCAGAGAACTGGCAAGTTATAAAGAACAGTATCATTATAAATAATGGTTTCAATAATTCTGGATTCAACAAAGTAATGATTTTTTCTTTCAATGTCATCACTGGTTCTGAATTTGCAGCTTTTTGGTTTTCAATAATGCCTTTTAATTCAGTCTTAGCCTCATCACTGTAACCTCTTAACCAGTAGTAAGATTTTATGCCGTCATCAATTTCTCCTTTAGATATGAGCCACGTAGGGCTTTCTGGTGTCAATGTGAGCAAAACTATTGATAGTATTGGAAATAGACAGCAAATAGTCGCTGTCCATTGCCAGGTCATAAATGTTCCTATTAAATGAGCGACGAAAATTCCTATTGCTATGGCTAAAGATATTGCAGCGAGAAAGAATCCCCTGTACTTAGGTTCAGAGCTTTCACCGATGTAAACTGGACCTAATGGACCTAATAGACCGACGCAAAGACCAGTGAAAAATCTTCCGAGAAGCATTAAGCCTAGGTTGTTCGCGCAGCTGATGAGTATCCATCCCAGCAAGAACGGTGCACAGATGATGTAGTGTGATGTTTTTCTTCCGAATTTCTCCATCATCCAGCCAGATATGAGACAGCCTGGCGCCATAGGGAGGGCGGCCATTGCAGCTAAAATTAAAAAAGACATTTATTTTAATAAATGTAATGGATGGATTGTTTCAAGAAATAGAAGAGAAAAGGCTTGAATTCAACTTATTTCTAAAATAATTGAAATCAAATATTAAAGCTTCATCGCATTTTTAATTAGGTATAAAATAAAATTTAAGCGAATCTACTAGATCTGAAGTGATATCTTTTATATTCGGATATTTGTAACATTTCTAATATACTTACCAATCCAAGACATTGTGCTGTGATTCATGACTATTGGGCTACCGGGTAATTGTAGTTGCGGCAATAGTATGGCAGAGTAGCCTGACGTGAGACCGGCTGTGAACGTCAACAGGATAGACGCTGAAGCTGCAAGACTCTGAAATACAAAACACAAAGTTAATTAGATTTATTGACGTCTTTAAACTCTTCGTGGAATGTGATAACTATACATATAAATGAGTATCAGATTAAAAATTTGAACAAAAAACAAAAAAAAAATTGATCTTTGATTTGATTGATTGATATTTTTTTTTTCAAATATTTGTTGTATTATATTTGATCAATTTTGCATTCACAATGCAAAAATTCCCAGAATTCCCACAAATAATATTTTCCAGTATAAAATATTATTTGTGGGAATTCTGGTATTTTTATATCCCATCTCTCAACTAGGGACAAAGTGGACTTTTAAGCATTTTTCATCAAGAATAAGTATAATTAATTTATTGTTGTTGAAGTTGAATATTAAAGAATAAGCAAAATATAAATCTTACCTGCCTCCATACTGGTGAAAATCTAGATACGACATTACTATATGTAATTAGTGCGGTATCTTTATCCTTTTCAGTCATTACCAGTCCATTATTGGAGTTAGAATTTTTAAGATTAGCTAAATACTGTGAAAGTTTTCTTTCTTTTCCAACTTTTTGGGATTCGTCTATTTCTTCTTTTTTTGTACATTCTTTATTGTTATTCGCTTGATCATGATTGCTAATGCTAGAGTTATTTTCTGTTTTTGTTTCTTCTATGTTTACTCGTTTAGATGAATCATTTTGATCATTTTCTATAATTGTGTGTATTTCTGTATTATTTACTTGATTACTTGATCCAGTTCTGTCTAAATTATTTGTTCCATTTTCTTGATAGTCGGCTGTGTCAGCTGCCATATCTTATCTGAAACAACACATGTCGGTCTCTTAGCATGGAAATGGAATCATTCTTTATTGTATCAATATCAAAGTTATTTGTAGTAACTAATTAATATTATTTTTTCTCTTTAAAGTAAAAAAGAATTAGAACTATATAAAATAGAACTCCATTGAATTTCTAAAGAAACTCAGGAACTGCTCGGGAAGTCAAACTTTGGTTCATCTGCAGTCGTTAACGTCTGTCAATCAGCACTGGACCTACTTGGTGAGCTATGACACGTTTCCCAGTGTTTAATAGCAATGGGGCCATTATTAGGTTGATAAGTTATTTTATATATACTTAACTGGTTATATTATAAGTATATTATAAAGATGTTTTTGCTAATTTGTCACTTAGCATAATAAGGTTTATACAATTTATACAAGGTTTTACGCAAATACTTGGTAATTTTATATGATAAATAACGCGTGCAATATATTGTTTAGTTGTTATGCGTTGTGATAAGAAGATTGTAGGTCAATCACCGTATGTATCTTTGTAGCTCAAATGACTATACTTATTAGTTATTGAGTCTTATATTTTACGCACTTTGTTAATGAGAGCCATTGTTTTAGTTAATGTTACAATTACCGAATATTACTTTTTATATACCTCGAACATGAATTACGTTACCTTTGGTCAGTTAGTCCTACGTTATACTATTATTTTTGAACTACCGGAGCCTCTCGAATGGTAGTAATTGGAATTAAATAGGTTTTTATATTAATTTTAATATTAGAGCGAAAGTTATGTCGCGAGGGAAAATAGTCTCTATTCCATTGGTAATTTTATAGAAGAAGATAAAAAAAATGTTATATGTATGTTGTTATAGCAGGTCGTTGACTGGTTTTTAATGGATTTTTTAAAATGAAAATTTATTATAAAAGGGCAAGTCTCTTTGTTTTTCTTTTACGTAACCTCATGAGCGTCGTTTTTTTATGAAGAGGCTAGAAACTATTTATAGCTGCGAAAAAACTTCAGTCGCACCTTTTAATTCATGTACGAATTGAGATGGTTTCATTGTTCTTAAATAAATTTGGTTTTTATTATTTCCTTGTTATAACCACAGAGTAGCTTAATAACCCACGTAGGGGTAATTAGTCCTATGTTTTACAACTTTTAGTACCCCTAGGTTTTAACACTGATCTTGGACGGAGAGCTTATGAAGCTCATTTTCACATCAACTTCTGAATTCTGCTGAGTCACTGCATTTAAATATTGTGCAATCTGAGCGGTTAAGTCTACTTTTATAATTATATATATAAGATTTTCGCTAATTTTAAACGAATAAAAAGCACCTTTTATGTTATGTGTTACGATTTTTATAATTTAGGTACACAGCCATCGACAGGTGTTCTAGCACCTGACCTACCCACTGGGTATTGAGTGATGTATATACCCTTAGTACTTCGACATTCTGAAATATCAAGCTTGAGAAAGCTCTTGCACATTTTGTCACTACCTCTTAGAATCGAGAGGTTCTCCTGCTAATAGAGCGAAAAGATCTACATAAAAAATCTCTTCCTTTACTTATAGACATACAACGCACAGCCTATAGTATAGTATAGGCCCTATACTATGAATAGGTACTAGACGCAGGAAGTTGAAATTTGGGATGTATGTTTCTTGAGGAGCGTAGGATTTTTGGAAATCGGCCCACTGCCGAATGAAAAGAAGATAAATTTGTATGACACTAAATTGGTATAGCTACTTGTTTAAAAATAAAGATCGATGTAAATATTTCGAATGAAAAATTTGTAAAAATTTCACCATCCCCAGAGACCAGGCGAATGCAAAATTGATCAAACATATTAATTTAGAATGGAAATAGATATTTAAAATCGACGCTTTCATTCTATAGCTTAAGATTCCTTTAGGAATGCCATTAATTATTTTTGTCTTTTCGACGTCAAAATAGTCAAACGAAATGAAATCCCGCTGTTTATAAGTTTTCTTATCAAAAACATTTTTGAATTGTCCAACGCCACGTCTAATGTCTTACAACGATATGCACAAGAAAAACAACTTTTAATCGAGTCAATCTAGGTCAATATTTTAATAGCCATAGCCCTTGTGCGAAAACGGTGATGGTGTGTATCAGTAGTTGTTTGAGATGCAAATTGCAAATGTAATAATTCATTACTATTATATAAATTAACAGTGGCAACTGAGTATTCACCATTTTATATCGGTAAATCTTTAACGCGTTGCACAAACGTGGACACATTTAGTCATAGACACGGCATGTCATGACATGAAAACTTTGCTGTGTCCGGTAGCGGCAATCGGACACAATGATCGGTTGCAACTTAAACTGACTGTTACTCTCAGGAAATCGTAGTTGCTATGTCTGGTTGCGGTAATTGGACGCATTCGTATTTAAATAGCGCAGACATTTATAAATTTTAGCCGCTCGATTTTGCTCGACACAACTGACGACTTCTGGTTGGAAACTTATTGGTTCATGATCGATATGTGTTAAGGAAGCATTCTATAACAGTATATTAGATAATTTTATATTATAACCTGGTCCAACTAGTATATAACTTTTGATTGTATCATGCCATATTAATCAAAATTAAATGTCACTGGCAATACACAATTTTTCTTAAATTTTATACACTAGTCTCAAAAATGTCTACGTTTGCGCAGTGCCTAATATTACGTCATCTGTGATTTTATCAACTATAATTTGAACTTGGCCTCACGATATCATAAATTAAATATTAATAACAATTATTATACAGGATTTAACTATATTATTAGATCTTAATACTATACATTGCGAGACAAAGCGTCATTGTCATTGGATATTATCAAAAAGTTATTTAATTTCGAAAAGACTTACTGTATCGCTAATAATAATTAAATACTTTAATTTATTCTAGTGCGTCAATGTTAGATCTACGCAGCTTACATCAGAGATCTCGTGATGTCATAATAAAGGTGCCGTAACAGGATATGTTATTCCTTAATTTAGTGCGGGAAAGTGAACGTGTCACCTCTTTTCTGTGGACAATGGTAGAATTGAAGTTGTCCCTCCTGTGGTAATACCACGAAAAAAAAATGATTTTTTTATGCATTTAGATTACATTAAGACATTAGTTTAAGTTAACAAATAGATATGCAAAAATTAAACATCAAATAAAAAAAAACATCAAAAATATTTATTCATTCTAATTTGAACTACTAACTACTACTAACTAAATGTACCCTATTTAGTTAGTAGTTGGTCATACCAATATTTGTTGTTGCCAATATTATCATGTAAAGACAAGAAAACCTATTTAATAATAAAATTGTATTTACTAGAACCTAAGACATTGTTGATATAAATGGGGAAACGTAAGTTAGTTTTCGTGAATTACAGTTTGCCTTCGCTACTATGTGTGGGCTTTTGTATTAGGAGCATCTTTTACTCTTTCACAAAAAATCGAAAATAATACAGTAAAGTTATGAATATAGACTAGACCTTTTGCATTTAATTAAATAACAACAAACACGTTTAGAGTTAGCTTGAGTTAGTCTGGGTGTTAATAACGACACATTTTTTTTTGTAATTTGAATTGAATGAGTAATGATTAGGGCTCATAGAATTTTCCAGCGATTATTACCGACGCTGAGCACGCACCATCATTGTTTTCCCTTGGACCAATTATATATTGCAACATGGTTCATAAACACTAAAGATTGTCATCTATGTATGCGTCTTTCAAATTAAACATATAAATAATATATTGTGTACATAGAGATTTATGTGTTTAAATTAGGCAAAATTGTCTGATAAGCATAGTTTTGTATTAAGTTGTCAAACGCTGGGGCTAAGGCCTTCGCAGAGGATGGAATCGAATGAAATCTAAGAAGGAGATTATTTATACGTATATAACTATCTAATGTAGTGCAATGATACCATTTTTTTGACGCTGAGAAATGCGTTGCTCATACTCGCTTCATCCTGCGCGAGCTCCGCGGTTTATGTGGGGATCTTCCCTGCGGATCAACCCTCAGAGTCGGGGCTGGTGAAAAAGCTGGGGCCTACCCACTAAAACTCTGCGGAGGAACGACGCGCGGTAACTGTCCCCAAGGCGACCACTTCCCGTGCATGCCGTCCCCGCATGACCCGCCTCTTTTAGAGTCCCCCCCCCCAGACAGGACAATGCCTAGCGAGCGCGTTAACTCGCTAGACTGCCCCTCGTTAGTACAACGATACCATAGCGCATTGGTTAGCGTGGAAGTTAAGCAACTTTCGCTTAAGGGCCGGTTATAAAATGGGTGACCAAATGTTGTAATCTTATTTTTCTCCGTGCTTTGGAATGCACGTTAAGCCGTTTGCCTGATTGCGTCTTCGTCTGTAGTCGTTACTACTCACCAATCTGCACTGGCCCTAGAGGTGGGTCATGGCCCTTTCTGCCTGTTCGATTCCACACATAGAGACGGCCCGTGGACTAGCAGTGGGAATATCAATAGGTTGATGATGATTGCCGAAGGTATTGAACAAAAACTATGCCGACTGAGAGCAAGAATAAAATACTCATTACTTAGATTATATAATCTAAGTCTTATTAGTAGGGCCAAATCTACCTGTTAATCCATCATTAGTTATAATAAGTGCAACAGACTTCTGCTTCTGATTCCGCAACTGCAGAAGATCCGCATGTTTTGTGACATCCGTTTCTGTTTCTGGTTCCGCAACTTTTATAACGTAAATTTAAACGGAACACTACGACGTACGGTTTGATTGGAAGCTTGTTTATTCGTTTATTGGATGCGTGCGGGAGTCTGTTGTGATTAGTCACTACGTGTTTGTTAATTTTTAGTAAATTATACTACTAATTATAATATTGTTTTGATTATGATTTCATAAAGAATAATACATATTATATTATTACAAACATTTTTTTCACAGTATTTAAATTTCCGTTTCCGCATCTGTTTCTATTTCTGCGTAAATTTTATTTTGATTTCTGATTTTGTTTCGGCTTCAG